TCCTATATCTATCCGTCTGATATCTGTATGATATCTGTATGATATCTATATGATATATATCATAATATATCGGGTACCCAATAAGTCTATGATATGTGACCGATATTTAACTACCCGATATGTGTAAGATGTATATGTGATATGTACATGATGTGTCACCAGTTTTCTACATTTCTACTACACATATCGGGTACCTGATATGTGTAGCATTGTTAAATATCATACACATATATCACATATATTGTACACATATCAGGTACCCGATAGGTACCCGATAGTATTAATTTTGACCAGTGTAAACTCCTAGGTTTCAGCAAGCAACCTTAGTCTGGATGTTGTAGCAAAAGACTTGTAAATCTAAAATTAAATAAAAATTTAAACTGTAAGCCTGTAACATAAAGTTAGAATAGGCAATTCATTTTAATATATGGAGTTTTTGCAATAGAAAGGTATGAAATTCAAAAAATATCAAAAATTGAATTAATATTAAATTTGCATTTATTTCAGTAAAAAAAACATAATTAGCATATAAAGTAAAATTAAAATTTTTTTTAAGTTTCGTACCTTTCTATTGCAAAGACCCCATATATTGTAGATTGACTTTAATTAACCAATCTTGATAAAATAAAATATGAATATATGATTGTAATTGCAAGTATATTCAAATTGAAAAATATGTATGGCTGTTTTTATAGTATAAGCAGTAAGTCAGCAAATTTGTTTTAGTAATTATTACCTACATGTACTTTGACTTTAAAGAGTAAAACTTAAAGATTTTTGGTGTAAATAAGCCATTTAATTAATGATCAAAGCTCAAAATTTTTGGTTTTATAATATATTTGAATATTAGAATAAAAATTGGAAAGTATATAGTTAGAAGCTAATAATAACCAATTAAGAATTCATAAAGAAAGAAATGTATAAATTAGCAGGTATAGTAGCAAGAGTAGTGTAAATAGCAGTAATTTTAGTATATACTGTATAATAAGAAAGGCTAATTTTTAATTGTACTATGAGTGTATATTATAACAAAGTTCAAATGAGATTCATGTTTTTAAACTCAATTCCATTTTATAGAAATATCAGAAAACCTAAATTGATTAATAAAAAGCAAAATTCATAATATGTGTCCTTTAAAAATGTTAATTATTTGTCAGTATAAACTGAATCAATTAAGAAAGATAGTATAAGATATGAAAAATTTCAGATAACATGATTAGAACAAAATTTGAACTTGTAAATAAATGATTTTTGTAATTTTAAAGAGTTTTCAGATTTCTGCCTATATCACTAATGCAAAGAAATTATCAAATACAGAGGATAATTTCTTTTGTTTAGTACGAAAATTACAACCATTAAAAAAAGCACTTTAACAGTGTATTTTTAAGAATTAAAATTGGTATTAAAATATAATTTAGTAATATTAAGCAGACAACCTTGGTATCATTATAATAAAATAAGTGAATTTATTATCCAATTGAACAGCAATTTTATTTACCAAAGACTAAAAAATTAATATCATTAATAAATATAATTTAATACTATTTCTTTTTATTATCAAATTAATCATAAAGTAATAAAGAAAAAGAAACTGAAATTAAAGAAGTTATAGCAGAATGGAAATACTCAAGTAAAAGTTATTAGAATCAAAAATAATGTCATTAAAGTAACATTATTGAACAATTTAGAAAATTTGCCTATTCCTTATTTTTTAATATAACATGAAATAAAAAAAGATTAGAATTCCACTTACTTATAAAATAGGTTACTCCTAGGTCTAAAGTAAAAATCATATATAAAATTCTTTGTGAATTCTACTATAAAAGAAAATTTTATATTACATTATTATAATTTTTTTCTTTTTTAACTAATTAACCAATAGAATTTAGTAAAAGGCTAATTTTCTACAGTAAACTTTATTTATTATAAATAAGTAAGATCTTAAAAGACTATAGAAGCAAATAAAGATTTTATTATATGGTAATATCTAATAAATAAAATACTAGACATTTTTATAAATAGTAAAGATTAGAAATGAATTTTTAATATATTTTTTATTTAACTTTTTATAAATTTAATTTAAATTATACTAAATTTAGTAAATTAAAATAAATTTAATATTTAAATTATATTAATTTTTATAAATCATTATACAGTATATATTTAAATAAATTTAATACTTTTTTGAATATATTACATATTATATAATTAATAATATTATTATATAATAGTTAATTAATTGATTTTTCAATAATATATAAAATTAAATAGGTTTAATAAAAATTTCTGCATATTTTGTAAAACAAAATAAATAAATAAATATTAATTATAAATAATAATTTTATATATAAAATAGATAATAAATATAAATAAAAATTATTAATTTATTAATATTTTATTAAATAATTTACTATTTATTATAAGGATAAATCTAATTGTAACAGCCTGTTACGCATCTTATTTGTAACAACCCCAATTTTATCCAATTAAAATTTAAGATCAGGCGTAATGTAAACAAAAACAAAAGATCAGTCATGTAGAAACTGCTTATAACTTAAAATTTTGTCTATAAAACTGTCTTAAGTACATTAAGTAAAAGTTTTCCAAATTAAATTTTGCATATAAAAATTTTATTTGTGAAACACATATTAAATTTATTATTAAAAAAAAATAAAAAAAAGGATGTTACAAATAAGATATGTAACAGGCTGTTACAAATACATTTTTTCTTATTACAAATATAAAACTTATTATTTAATTCATTTTATTAAAATAAATTATATAAACTATATCATATTTTATTTTTATAATTATTACAATTATTTTTTTATAAATATATATATATTTTTATAATTATTATTATAAATGTATTGTTTTTAGAATTATATATATAATTTTATAATACACAATAAAATTTGATAAACCGGATATGATTTATTAGTTTCACTAAAAATATTCAGTTTATCAGAATATCTGGTATATTGAAAAAATTAAAAATCTATTATACTGAATTTTCAAAAAATTTTCATACTAATAAAACTATTATATGCTATAATTTAATTTTTAATTTTTTCATCTTAGTTTTAAGTTATAGAATTTATGAAAATAAATATAAAATATTTTTAATTGAAAATATAAGTAATGCATAACTTCAATTAGAATTAAGATTTTTATAATTCTGGCTAAAATTAAGATTTACCACCTCATATTACTTAAATTTTATTAGTTAAATTATCATATGATCTGGTTTATTGAATTATTTTTACTATAGCTGATTAGAAAATTGATTTATTATAGTACTAAATATCAAGCTTTTACTAGTAAATTCTAGTATATTAAAACTATTTTAATATACATAATTTAGTTCTAGCAAAAAAGTATAGTTTAGGTTCAAATTCAGTTTATCAAAGATCTGGTTTATTAATTTCATTATGTAATATATTTAAAGAAAGTATATATTTATAAAGAAATATTTATAAAGAGTTAATTATAAATATTCCCCTTTATATTGATCTATCACGATTCCTTTGAGTATAATAATAAAAAAAAAATTAATAATTTTAGCATTTAAATTTTTTTAATAAAGTTCATTGAATTTTTGGCAATTAAATTAAATGTAATAAGAATTTTAAGTAAAAAAAAAGCTAAAAATTATAAATTTTAATTATAAATTTTGGATTTTATAATTTATTGCATTTGTAATACATTGCACTTTTTTTTGTCACTTGTATTATATTCTTTTTTTTTCATTTTTTATATGTATTCTAAAAACCTAGAATTTTTTCAGTTATAAAAAATCACTCTAGTTAAATGTTATATATTTTAATATATTTTAATTTTACCTGCTATTACATAATTTTGCCTAAAGTGCCTATAGTGCAATATATCACAAATGCAATAAAAAACAAAACTTATAAATTTTATATAATATTTGTATAACTACGTGTGTAAACACGAGTCACGTGATTATTGTCATTTTCCGGTGATCTGCATAAAAAATTTCCTAATTTGGAATTTTGTGTAATGCAATTTCATTTTTGCTGAGAAACAAAATTTCCTTTTTTGGGTTGTATAACGTTACTATAATTTCCAAAATTGGAATTATAGTAATTTTTGGCTGGAATTATTGGAATTATAAAATTTGGCCGAAATTATGGTGTGTGACATATAATATGTGACAAATAAGGTTTTTCCTACCGAAAAAATTCTAAGTCCCTAGAATAAATAGTAAAAATGGAAAACTATAGGGGTGTGACATGGGTGACAAATTATAGTCACGTGATACGTGTTTCGCACACTAGTGTATATTAAGAAATCTTAATTGTTATATAGTGGGATACCACATGAGATATAATTATATCTCATGTGGTATCCCACTTATTCTAGATTATAGTATCACATATAATCTAAATATCACATATAATCTGGGATATCACATATAATCTGGATATCACATATGATCTAAATATCACATATAATCTGGATATCTCATATGATCTAAATAATGTAATCTAATTACCACATATGATCTAAAATGATGTGATCTAATTGTCATATATAATCTAACATTTTATTATTTCTTATATCGCTTTTACATTCTAGCTATGTCTTTGAGTCTTTCTTAGTATTCGTGTTTTTATGTTAATATACTTTTTATTACCACAATGTAATCTAAATACCATAAGCAGTTTTAATGATTTATAGCGGTTTTATCGATTTGTAGCCGATTTAGAGAGACTACACACTACTAAACTCAAATTCGATTGGGATCATCTTTCGGGCTAAGCTAATCTTATATTTACATGCATCTTCGGCTGAATCAGTTTGTGGCATGATGTACTGTATATCGTATCACATGACATCTCTACCAGTTCCCTCAATAGTTCTAGGGTTTCGATAAATCACGAGATGGTTGGCCGTAATCAGATTTCAGATTTTTTCTTTAGCCGGATAGCCTGAAAAATGATTACGAATAAAATGCACATGTTCGAGATGATCGGCTAATTTAGTCATATGGATTCTTATTCGAAATCTTATTGGGGAGAAGTGTGACATTAATGTCACAGCTAAACCAATGAAATCTGGCAAAGTTTTGGAACAGAGTTATGGGTTATGACAATTTATATGCTGAAATGAAAACCAGAAACTTTATGATTTTTGCTCTGAGAGCCGTGACATTAGTGTCACACTACTTTACAAATAAAAAATCAAAAATGGCCGTAGCCAGTCCTAAAAG